AGGTTATGGCAGAACTCCGACCCGATGGGGTTTAATGGACCTCGGATTCGGATTCAGCGACCCCAAAAACATATAATAAACATGGTCTGATCCCCAGGCCAAAGAAATTTTTTTTTGTGTGGCTGTGTAATTAGTATCAAATACAAGTCGTACTTGCTAGAACGTAAAATCGATACTAAACAGTTTTGTTAAAAATTACTTTGTAGTACATTTATTTATTGCACAACATCCTGCACTGGCTCAATATTGCCGTTATTCCAATTCATCTATATAAAAAATAAATAATTGTTAAATAACTAACATTTAAATAATAAATGTTTAAGTTATTTGTTTTTGAAAGTGCGTTAAGTTTAGGAGACGTAAAATTAAAATCTAGACAGACAATTTTTTGTCCATATATTTCCGTCATATATCACGCAATNTTTAATTTTAAAAGTAAAGTGGCGGTAGACTTATAGTAATTCATTTCAGATTTCTATGGCCAGGGTCCGTACCATATATATGAGTAGGACAGATTCTGGTCTTGAATAATATGAAAGAATATGCTGCCACCTAGATGTCTCGAAGGAGAAAGCTGCGTTGCCAAAAGAAAAATGTAAAAATTGGTTACATTAATTAAGTCGGAATTACCAACATATTACCAATATTCGATCTTCTACTTGGTTCGGTTGACCAAATTGGATTATGACCAATAGGACAAAATGTTTTACATTACTTCATTTTGACCATAAAATGACCAACTTTTTTCCCCACTTACCATCATTCGACGTCGATTTGTAGTAAATAAGGTTTGGTCGACAAAACTCTTAGACCTATTAGAAAGTCAAATAAAGATAATTTTGCCCAGTTTTGCTGCTTGGATATATATCTAGATACTCGTGTGTGTATGTGTACATATATATACATGCACAAGAAAATATAAAAGACATTGTGATACTTACATTTTTTGTTGTTTTCATTGTAGTTGTAATTGTAATTGTAATAAGTAATATGTATATTTATTTTTTTCAGTTTTATTAAGGTCATCATTTCCTGTTACAGAGGTTAGATATTTTCCAGAAAAATAGCTGCAGATACAGATGTACACTCGTGTACACAAACACACGTAACGCGCAAGATAATAAGAATCAAAATAGTCGATCGGTTTTACAATCGGCTATTTTTGTCCATAATTGAACGCGCATGTGTATGTACAGTACTGAACTATTACAAACCTTCTTTCCTTCTCCGTTCACTGTCGTATGTATTCTTATATTTATTTCTTATACTTATCTCTTGTCTCTCTCTTTCTCTCTCTTTCTATCTCTCTCATCTCACATCTCACATCACTTATTGCTTCTCTTTTTCTTCTTTCAACGCTCGCATTCCCATCTGTTGTCGGAATGCGCGAAACTGCACACATTCCACACATTCCATCAACGACGATGACGACGACGAATTCCTCATAATGTGATATTCAACACTTTTATTGCTTTATTTTCCAATATCTTCGAATAGAAGCTACAGACAAGAAAAACATAGGAATACTTATTCAAACAAGTTTTTATTCCGATTTGATTGAGACGAAAACAAAAAAGCATCCTTGTAATAAAGTTTTTCTTTTTCAAGGGTATAAAGTTCCTGGTAGAAGTGAATTATAGGCTGTGATGTGACAGTTTTTGTGTCTGTCACAAGGATGCATTTCTGGCCAGCACAGGAGGCGGTGAGCTCGCGTTTCTTTACTCTTTGAGGGAGAGCAGCTCATTAGATTGCGTAGCGCAGGCGAATGCGCTTACTTTAAATTTCCGTTTGTATTTTTGCGTATTGTAATATGCCGCTTGGCAGCTATTTTGTAACTTATTTTCAGCGTCAAGAGAGCAACACACTGTACGTGACCGGCAGGAGAAGAGCGAGAAAGAGAATAGATAGCGATACAAGGGCGTAGGAGCCCCATAGGCACAGGCCGTTTGGCGATAATGTCGACGACGGACTAGGAAACGGGAGACGCTAGCCCTACGATTCCGCAAAAACTGGAGCGGGGCTCCTTGTGGAGTTATCAACCCCATGATGCAGGGAGATAAGCCCGTCTAAGCTCATCTACGAAAAAAATTCCGCAGAACGGGCCGATACGGCCACAGAAGGGCCCGGGGCGATGCGTTGCCGATACACACGTGGCCGCTGTCAATCATAGTCCCGCAAAGGGAAGAATATAATTGGCTCGTTAAACAGCGCACAGCGAAAAGAGCAATCGCCGTAGGAGCCAAAATCATTGTTGCGTGTACCGTCAACCCTGCGAGCTCACCGTCTCTCACGCATGTCGTGATGCCGGGGTGTAAGACTGTGTGCCGGATATCATCCGAAGAGGACCGGCTAAGACAATGTCAAAAGTAAGAACAGAATGGTTACCGGTTTGTGGAGAGTCGCCGGCAAACGTAAGTGTGATTGGTTTTTTTCTGCACCTCTTGCGATTTATATTGTTTGTGAATCGAATTTCAACGGGCTATTCTGCAAGTTCGATGTCGCGCAATATAATGCCGAAAATATAATGTATTGTGGTTTGCGTTTGTTAAGAATAAGAATGATTGTCTTTATTCGCCGCTGCTCTTGTCCCAGTCAGTCGCGGTCGCATACCGCGGTATGCTGGTTACTCCATAACGCGGAGGTTATAGAGTTATTGAATTGAGGAGTAATGGCGTTGAGGGGTTATTGAGTTGTGGGGTTAGATGGTTTTGGGGATGATTTGATTGATAAAGTTATGTTTGTGATGGTTTTCAATTGTTTTGATGTTTTTTGAGATTAGGAAAAAATCCTGACGTGTACTGGATAAACGGGTTGCGGAATTTGTGTTCAGCAGAAAAAAATATGGGAATATCATACTGGCATTTATGGCGCAGAAAAAAAAGTTTTTTTGTGGGCCTGTGTAACCGATTGAAATATATTACGCACAAAGATAATAATTAAGAAACGAACAATTCACAACCAAATGACAAACAGACGTTCTTTGTCTTTCCATTTACTAAAGAAATATCGGGTTTCTTGTTTGCTGAAAAACAAAAATTTTTTTATAGCATATAGAAGTCATAACAAATTAAACCGAGTATTTATAGTTCTCAAAGACCTTCTTGCTATTGATGATAAAAAAAACGTAGTGTACTGTTTAAAGTGTCAGGATTGTGATGTGACGTACACTAGACAAACTGAAAGAAACCTTTCCACTAGAATTAAAGAACATAAAAACCAGATTAACAGAAATAGTGACAAAGTATCTGTGGTTACTCAACACCGTCTGAACACAAGACACAATTTTAACTGGCAAGAAACTAAACTCTTAAACATAGAGAACTTTTACCATAAAAGACTTACATCTGAAATGATTTACATCAAATTATTTGATAGTAATATTAATGTCATGTCCGACACTGAAGATTTGAAACCGTATTTTCCCACCTTGGAAATGCTCAGAGATACGTGCGTAGTTAAAATTTTATAAACATGTTTTGATCACTCCACCTATGGTTTATTTCTCTGATTATTTTATTAAAAAGAAAACATCTACGAACTTTCTTTGTAACACACGACTCTCAGTAAGTCCCTACATTTTGTACAGTGAGGTTACACGATCGTCAACAATGATGTGCTTCTTTCTTGTTAACACAATATATTAAAACTTCTATTTTTCGAGGTAATTACAAAAAAATAAAAATTTTTTTTTATATTCATTTAAATATTTTTTGAAAAAGCTTGAGAAATTTGAGAAATTATAAGTAATAATTGACTATTGTAATTACCTCAAAAAATAAAAGTTTTAATAGATTGTGTTGACAAGAAAGAAGCACATCATTGTTGACAATCGTGTCACCTCATTGTACAAAAAATAGAGACTTACTGTGTTACAAAAAAAGTTTGTAGATGTTGTCTCTCTAGTGAAATAATCAGAGAAATAAACCATAGGTGGGGTGATCAAAACATGTTTCTGAGATTTTAACTACGCACGTATCTCTGAGCATTTCTAACATAGGAAAATACGGTTTCAAATCTTCAGTGTCGGACCTTACATTAATATTACTATCAAATAATTTGATGTAAATTATTTCAGACGTAAGTCTAAAAGAAAACTTAAAGAATTGTCAAGATCTTTTTTCATTGTAAGTTGAAGTCTAGGATGATAATTGTTAAAAATGTCAAGAGGAGTTCTTGTAGTTGGTCAATCGGAGGAAGTTAAAATTATGTCGTCAACATATCGAAAAGGAAAAGAAGGTTTAAATTTAAGTTTCTCAAGGACAGACATTTCTAAATCCTGCATAACTAAATCTGCGATAGGTGGAAAGAGGAGAGAGCCCATTGAAGTACCATAAGTCTGTTGATAAAACTTACCATCAAACGTAAAGTAGGTGGATGATGTAACGGAGCCGCCGTGTAACGCGCGGCTTGCCCGGCCTTTCGCCTGCCGGACAGCTTGGTCAGACCAGGATTTGGGTGAGGGGAAGGAAGAGATTGCGACACGTTTGGTTAATGCTGTAACGTAATGATTCTATATTCTACATTATACTGAGTATGTACAGTGTCTAATAACGCGGGGCACTATAACCCCGGGGCACTACTACTCTTACAAACTGACGGTTCGCGGCTGTGATTGGCGCGCGCGAGGTATCGCGTGTCAGATTTAGCCGGCGCGGTAACTGGTCGGGCCGGTATCTTACGTACTAGAGAGGGGAGGCGCAAATATGTACTACGAGGGGTTTCTTGACGGCGACGGGAACACAGGTACGCGTATCGGCGAGGAACGTTGGTTACGCGATGCGCGAATGCGGAGGGTCGCGACACGACGTGGTGCGCACGGTCGGCGGGTCGGTTTGCTACCTAGTAGCAAGAGATGTCCTAGCGAGTCGTGAAAACGGCTGTTCCGGTGAGCCGTGAGAACGGCTGTCGGGACGGTCGGTGTACCTGGACCAATGCCCCGGGCACGGTCGGTACGGGATCCTTCCGAGTCAACATCTCGGAGAGACAGGATTGGCTACCCCGAGTCAACTCTTCGGGAGGGAGTTAGTCAGGATTCCTCCTGAGTCAACACCTCGGGAGGAAGGAGTGGTCTACCCGAGTCACCACCTCGGAGATTGGAGCAGGTGTTCTCCGAATCAGCACCTTGGAGGGGTTGTTGGTTCCGAGTTAGCACCTCGGAGACCTAGGAATGCTTCCGAGTCAACTCGGAGAGCGGGACAGAGTTGCAAACTCTGGCCGGCTAGCAACAAGAACATCGAGGTAGTGAGAACACGCACACCATAAGTTCTCGCTTGAGTGCGTGCTCCTACCACCTCTGTATTTTTGTTGCTAGCCGGTCAGAGTTTGCAACTCTGGAGCGAGATAGGAAGGGAATAGTCTCTGAGCCGGTATCGCCCGCCTTTAATACGCGGCGGCGGCCCAAGCTCTGTCCGGGGGACGACGTGTGGTGCGCGCAGGCCCGTGGGTAGAGTTCTGCGCCGGCGCGGCGCTGTTCGCGGTCGCGGTGCGTTCGGTTTCCCTAAGCGTACGGGCGCGTTCTCATGACTCGGAGAAAGTTCACTCGGCGTAGCACTTTGTGTATAACGGCGCAGGACTTAACTAGTTTTGGCGGAATAAGAGTGATACTAAACGCTTTGATATAAAATATGGATATATATATATTGTGAATAATAATAATACTAATACTTACAATAACGGGTTGCTCCGTCACAATGATAATATAAACTCAAGAGCTGTAAAAAATTTGTTTAATGGAAACTGTTTTAGGAATATCGCACGGATATATTATTTGACAGCTTACGATTTTAGGAGTGTACTACAATTTTTCTGAATACACTTTGTAACGTGGGTCGGATTTCGGAATAATCGGTTAGAGAAATACTCTAGGTATTGTTCCTGTTACTACAGTAAATTAATAATAAACAAAAAGATTTTTCGGGCTCCGGAGTCTTTAAACTAACGAGTGAAATAAATTCGGTTGTAGGAGCCGTTTGCAG